TTGACCAGCTGGCTGCAGCCGCCAAATTGGAGGCGGAAGTTTAGTCTCCCCCTGGCCAAAATATTGAAAAACATTTTCACGTTTGTTAACAAACAATTTTAATATTAATTAAACGCAAGTATTAAAAATTTGACACGAAAGTTGCGTTTTATATTATTTATTGCTAAACTTTAAATATTTAATTAAAATATTAATCGTCGGAGTGGTTGTTTTTCGAATAAATGCGAATAAAAGTAAATAAAATCGAGAAAAAAATGTTCAATAAATTATTAGTTTTATATTTATAACGAATGTTAAAAGTTGTATATTTCATTTCTATGCCTTAAACGGATATATTTATTTTGAAAAATGAGTTTATAATAATTAAATTGTCATTTTGTTATCAAAGTTTGATATTTTGTCGTCAATCTATCGTGCTAAAACATTCACTTTACAACCATAACATTAAATTCTTAACTTTTATTATTAGACATTGTAAAAATAATTGCAAAATTCAACATCCTAAAATTAATTTTGAATTCAATTTTCCAATATAAAACTTTTTCGATAATTAAATTGGTTTTTTAAAATAAAATAATTTTTAACGGTATTTTAAGCGGCTACTAATGGCTTTCACCTCCCTTTTGGCGTTGGTCTCTAAAGCATTTTGCCTCCAAAAATAAACTCTGGGTGCGGACGCCAATTGAGAAACAGAATCGACTAGAGGCAATAGCCAGAACATTTTTCTTCCAAAAATATTTTGAGAGGCCGCCAACAACTTTTGCCTTTGCTTCCGGGTGGCATTATCTCTGCTAACTTTAATTCAAATTTGATATTTTTTGTAATATTTAACTGAAATGCTTGATATTGGTGTTGATGATTATAAATGCTATTTTTTATTTATTTGATAATTTATAGTTATTATATTATTATTTTGATAACTATTGACCAAAGTAATTATAGAAGTAAACTATGATTATAAATAAATGATTATAATTTTTTAAATTTTTGACCAACAGAATGGACCAGTTTTTGTCAAAATTTCTTATTTTAAATTTTTTTTATTTTTATTTTATTTTTTTAAAAAGGTTTACTAAATAATTTGGGTAATTCTATCCAATGATTTTATTTTAATCTTTTTTGCTTAGAAACTTGTGTCGTTTAAGAAGCATTGCCGTTGAAAGAATAAGAAACGAAATACTTACATGCAATGAACTGAAATCAAATATTAGAAGAAACCAATTTTCTTTTTTACAACCACGCAATAACTTTAATATAAAAGATTATCGCAAAAACATAATTCAAAGAAAAAGAAGTTCTAGTGAAACCTTTAGCATTAAAACTGATTTTACTTTTGAAGGTTATGTAATAGGTAACTGTGGCGATAGAAATCATAAATTTGTTCAAAGAACTCGTTCTAAAAGCATTGAGCACAATCTAATGTTTAAAAAAATGTATTAGCAATCACTTTTCAGTCAAAATTCTTACCCAGTGTAACGAGTGTACCTAAATAGCAAGATTGGCTGGCAACCATATGAAATTTATTTTCAGGTGTTTTAAATTTTCAGTTTAAAAAGGTAACTATAGTAGCAAATGGCGAAAACCAACAAATTACGAAATAATATCTTAATTTTCGATACATTAACGAATGCAACAAAAAAAGTGGTGTCCACAGTTAAATTTTAATACGCATTTTTAAAGAGACGCTGCTATAAATGGTAAAAGCATTATATTCATAAATTATAGAATCTCTTCTAACTTCAACTTATTAGAAAAGCGTGTTTAAAATAAACGAATAAAGTAATTATAAATTTTTTTGTTTTAAAAGTAACAGCATTAGATCTCATCTCATTACCAAATATAGTTTAGTAGATGTTTTCATTACTAATTATTAACTTGAACTGTAAATAATACTATAAATGATTACTTTTAATTATTTTTGTAACTTAAAAAATTAATAGCACCCACACTTTTAAAAAACTTTCGGTAAGTAATACGAGCTTTTTGACGTACTGTGGGTATTTAATCGATTATGACGTATTTAATCAATTTAGACGGCCACAAATATTCTTAAGCATTTAATTGAAAAAAAAAAATTTTTTTTGGGGAGGCAAGTAGGGAAGCCAAATAGAAAGGAAAGAGTGATAGAATTCCCATCCCCTTTTTTTTTACCTTTTGTTAGAGCGCTAATGCATAAACATGATAAGAATAAACGTATTATACTTGTCGGAAAACTGCACTATTCTTATCCTAATTTTCAATTTGTGGTTGCGGGAAACAATTATAAAAATAAATGTTTTTAAATAATGTTTGATATTGTTTACAATATCACTTTATGACGATATATAAGATTATGATCAAAGTATTGCCATCATTTGAGTCAACAAACCCAGGTTTAGTTACGTTTAAAATTAAACCATTATTGTTTCTGAAGTTCGATTGTTTTTCTAGTTTTCTTTGCTTGACTATGTCTTTGTTATTTTCTGATTTGACTCATAAGTTACCATTTTCTAATAGGGAATTTATAGGATAGATGCAATTAATTTTCAAATATTCGGATCTTGATATCCAAAATTGATCACCCAAGCCTTATTGTATCTGGTTTGACTTCTTATTTTATTGTCAAATTATTAAAATCTTTTGATGTTGCACCACAAATGTAGCATTTTACAGTTAAGTTACACACCTTAGCATCATCATAGTGACCATCATACTACGTTTAACTAAAAAGAAATTCCCACCCAATGTCAATTTTGTATCATGCAATGAGATAATTGAATTTTTAATAAAGTTTATCTCTTCATTTCTTATATTTCTCTTGCTTTTTTTGCTTAGTTCTTTAAAGCTTTTCGTTGACCCACTTTTTGATGCAGTACTGCAGGTATTGCAATAATAACTTCGAGTGAATTACTATTTTTTATCAAAAATTTTCATCCCTGTTTGCTATTGTCCTTCGTTGTTTCTATTCGGAAATAAATTGCAAAAAAATATGCTTTTTATTTGTTCGTTTGAGTTATTATCTTTTCCTAATACGTAATGTTTTAAAAAAATTTTATTTTTCATTATGCTTGATGTTATTTGGCTCTGCATTAGATCAAAAAACATTTTTCGGGTCATTTTTCTGACATCTAACAAACTTAAACTCCGTTTAAAATTAAAAAATACCTGAACATAAAGTTTAGGTTTATTTTTTTTAATAACTAAAAAATTATTTTATTGTTTATTGGTAATGGTAAGTTTTTATCAAGCACACGAAGATGCAAAAATAATGTTAATAATAATAACAATAGTAATAACGCAGAGACAAACCCCCCTGGTCTGTTCCCTATCCCCTAAAAAATATATAAATATGAAAAATGAATAAACAAAGATAGAGCAAAAAAAGCAAAGCTGTTGCAAAATCTAGTGTAACTGCAAATCAGCATAAATGCAAACTAGCATAAGTGCGCCAAAAGAATTTGTTAACATTGGCATAAGTGCAAACTGGCATAAGTGCGAATTGGTATAAGTATGAAATGCCAATCTGCACATATATTAAAATTTTATTCGGCCCACTTATATAAATTCGCATTATGCTTGTTTGCATTTATGCCAGTTCGCACTTATGCCAATTCGCACTTATGTCAATGTTTGCAAACTTATTCGGCGTACTTATGCCAATTCCAGTTCGCACTTATGCCAGTTTTTGCAATTATACCAATGTTTGCAAATTTGTTCGGCGCTCTTATACTAATTTGCACTTAAACCAGTTCGAGTTTTTGCAACTGCTTCGCACTTATGCCAGTTTGCACTTATGCTGATTCGCACTTATGCCAATGTTTGCAAACTTGTTTGATGCAGTTATGCCAGTTCACACTTGTGCCAGTTTTTGCAACTACTTTGCACTTATGCCAATGTTTGCAAATACTTTTGGCGCTCATACCAATTCGCACTTAAGCCAGTTCGAGTTTTTGCAACTGCTTTGCACTTATGCCAGTTTGTACTTATGCTGAACTTGTTTGGCGCACTTATGCTAGTTCGCAGTTATGCCAGTTTTTGCAACGCTTCGCACTTATGTCAGTTTGCACTTATGCCAATTCGCACTTACTCAGCCTCCCGTAATAAATATATTAGAATTTTTCAAATATATTCATCTTCATTAAAATTCATCACAAATAGCTTTGAAATATATTCTGATTAAACTAATTCGTTTCTGATAATTGCTTAAAAAAAGAGCGAATGAAATAAAACTCGTAAGTAATAATAATTTCATCAACTTTGTTAATATCTTACGCCTTATTGTTCAAACATTTTGCGGTTACTTATCGTTTTTTCGGTTATTTAATGTTTTTAATATTCACTGACTATTCAGCATTGCTCAAACAACTTTTTTTTTTTTGTTGGACAGTTTTTAAAAACTGAATTTTGGCCGCCTAAATTAATCAAATACCCCACTGTGCGACGTTTTGCCTGAACTAATTCCCTTCATAAGGCACCAGCCAAACATTTAGACAATTTGCCGGAACTTGATTAAGCAAAATATGTTTCTTAAACTGGTTCGGTAAAAAAAAAAACTTTAACTTGCGCATAAAGTAACCTGAACTAGTTCGGTAAATGTAAACAACTTTTTACATTTTTTGCCAAACTAGATTCTAACTAATTTTGTTTACCGATCTACAATTAAACATATTAATTAAAAAATTATCTTTACAAAAAAGATTCTGGAGGACTTAGTAAAAAAACCTATTTGATTTTGGAAAAACTTCTTTGATCTACCTTATAGATAATTTAAAAGTGTAAGAATTTAAAACTTTTTTGAGAAAATTAAAAAAAAAAATTGATTATTGCATTATTTTAACTTTACTAATTTTACAACAACAAAACGCTAACAAAAAGTATTTCGATGGCATTATGCCCAGAAGTGTTAAGTACAACTTTTGGTCAAATTGAGCTAAGTTCAACTAAATTGTCGTGTTTTTTCAAACATTATTGTACCCGAATATGGTTAGCGATTCCACGGCTAAGCGAAAAACATTTGACGTTTGACAAAAAACACGAAATTTTCATAAAGTTTGCTCTCTTATATCTTTTTGTATAGGAAAGCAAGCAACCTCAGGTTTTTTGCATCAATTAGTGTTACTCAACCTCTTTTCAGCCATATATGAAAAGTACTATGCTTTATATGGCTTCACTTAAATATTATCCATATCTTGAGACCACTTTTGAGAAAAAATCTTGAAGCGGGAACGTTTTTTTAAAACGAAGCTTTTGAAGGTAAGGATTCCGAAGTACCAAAACAGATCCAATTTTTATAAAACTTTCCGTATATATTAAAAAAAGGTTGAGGAATCTAATGGAATGTGAACACTTTTTAACATTTATACATAAATTTTTAGTTCTCAGTGTTTAAAAACTTCAAGGTTAATTATTATAGAAAAAAAAGTGATTTTTGAAAGTGTTCAAGTGGAAATGGCAAATTCAGCCTTTCCTCTTTTTAAAACAAGTGTTTAATTATGTTTTCTTAAAAAATAGGTGCTTCGGATTTGTATATTAGAATTATGTATATATACATCTATATTTCTTCGCGTATTTTATGACGTTTTTTGTTTTGATTTTGCAATTCCGAAATTTTAACTACAAATAAAATTGAAAGTGAAAGTATATTCCTTATTAATGACCTAAGTTTTCAAGGCAATAAAAATAAAGATTTTATATTTTTAAAGGTATTTTGTCTGAATTGGTCAACTACAAGCTTGATTCTCACTGTTTCTACTACTGTTTTTAGTCTGTAGATTCTCTAAACTGTTTTTTTCAAAACAAAAAGAAATAGTAGTCAACTAAACTTTTAGTCTAAAGTTTACAAAATGGAAATGTGTAAGAATGTTATCATTTTTTTTTTTCATTTATTTTTATATTTTTTTATTAACTAAGTAAAATAACCAATGAACTTTAATTTCAAATTCAAATTCTCTTCTTTAGGCTGTGAACTTAACAATCTACGTGAAATGGTGGTTCAATCTATAAGTCAAGAATGTAAGTCATACTTTGATAGACTTTTTAAATTTTTAAATCCGGAAAAATGTATAACAAACATTTTATATTTCAATAATTTTATTTATAGAATCTTAAGCTTGATGATCTACCTTTATTTTATTTTCACAAAGCTAGATATTATCAAACTTCAACTCTTTGATTAACAATAGATTTATTGTAATCACTCAAATTAAATTTAATATTAATTTTAGCTACCAAAGTGTTGTCTGAAATAGAAACCTGCAAGAATATTTTGGATTTTCTGGATATATATGATGGCATTATTTGTCTCAAATATCCTGATTTTATGTTAACCAATAGCCATTTTCTACAAATTTGCAAAGACAAAAATAAACATAACATAACATTAGAAAATCTTTCATTATTTTTTACAACCTACTGTAAGTATAATATCTCTAGAGTGATGTTTATAAGGATCTTAAAAAAGTTAAAAGGTTACATTGTAAAATTAAATCGAGCCAAAAATTTGGACTTCAAAAAACATTTTTTAAGCTCTGCTTTATCTTTTAATGGTGCTTTTTCTGATGTTGTTGGTTTGTTACCTTCTGATGCTTGTTCTACCCCTACTTCTATCTACAATAGTGAAATTGTTCCAAATCAAGTTACTGTTTTTGTATCTTCTGATTTAAATTTGCAAATTACTAATGATGAGTTGTCGTAACTTGTTACCCCAACTTCTATTATATACATCCCTGTAGAAAATAGGTCTGAAAAATTTCTTACTGAAATCTAGGAATATATGCAGAAAAAGCAATAATAGAATGGGAAAAAGTGGTTGAGCAGGAAGGTAGTATTCATGGTGGTTTTAAAAGTTCTCAAAACTCTCGCACCTTTGATATTTTGTATGAACTTTTAAAACTTACAAGCTATCGGCATGGTGATCAGCAAAATGGAAAAGCTGATGAATGGAAGGCATTTTTGAGTAAAAGGTTTACAAAAAATTTTATGGTTTCATTTCTGCATCATCGCTTTAATATTATATTTGTACTTGGTGGAGCAATGTATTATCATAAAGACCACCTTAAAGAATTTGTTTTCAATCTTGGTGGTTCAAATTTTCTTCATGAGTCAATTAGGCATGATATTGACAACATCATTTTTCATGCTTCAACTAGAGCTCTGGGAATTTTTAATAAATTGATATCAGGACCTCTTTTTCGTATTATTGAAGAGGAGGGTCATATTTTCTCTTTAAATACCATTTGGTTGCAAATGTTCAATTATTTTGTTTCTTGTTTTTCTGATGCATCAAAAATGTTAATCGGTTCTACCTTTTTTGATGTAAAATATCTCACCAAGGATGAAGTGTTTGATCATTTATTTTCTGATTGTAATGACCTACTTTTGGATGCCTTAACCTAAGAATGTCTTGAAGTTATATGTTGCACATGTTTGGTTATGATTTAGAGTCCTATGACCGCAGGTTAAAAATGAAACCTAACATGACAACAGTAGCTGCAGCTGGTGTGATCATGTTTAACAACAACAAAACAGCTGATTGGATAGATGGAAAATTACAGGATAAAATTGAAAGGCTAGTTATATTAGCAAGGCGAAATAGAAAAGGGTATATAAGAAAGTACAGAGAGAAAAAAGCAAATATATTGCAGTACAAAATTGATGAGATAGACAAGCGCAACTTAGAAAAGGAAATAAAGGAACAAAAGGCAAGCGCAGAGAAAGAGTTTTTGACAACAGAAATCGGAAAGGATGGTGGTTTAATTTTGTGTGAAGAGGATTTTGAAAAAATTTTAGGAACTGAAAATGAAATTGTAATGAAGTTGCAAAGACAAATTAAATTTCTAAAAAAAGTATTACAGCAAAAATTTCCAGAAAAGTGGTTACAATTAGGAGAAAAGGCAAAAGGGGAGTATTACAAAAAATTTGGTATTGATAAATTAAAAACCAATCTGATATCAATTTTTAAATTTTTAAAAGACGTTCCTGAACAACGCGCAACTGCAATAAAATGTTCAGTTATCAGACAGATTAATGAAAGACAAGAAATGTTGTTAACATTAAAAAAAAAAGTCAGATTAGAGGGTGACGCAAGGTTAATTATGAAAACTGGAAGTAAAATAAAAACAGGCACATTAAAGGGAGGGGTTCCAAAGTTTTTAGGAAAAAGAATAAAACAAAGTGGTAGATAATGATGGCAAGGATGTATGGTATTCAGGGCTCGTGGTAAGTGTTCTAGACGACAATGAATTTGATGAAGAGTGTGAGTTTCAGATACTATATGATGGATATGAAGATAAGTATGACATTGAGTTGGTCAAAGAGTGGAGGATGAAATGTGTTGTGGTAGAGGGAAAAGCTGATGGTTATGTGGAGGGCGAAGTTTGTAAAAAACAAAAATGAAGTTAATATCATTTTTGACACAATGGGGATTTAATTTATTGTATTTATGTTTGTTATTATTCTTATTATTAATAATATTATTGTTATTATTATTTTTATTGTCATTCAATTTAATGTGTTCTTGTTTGTGTTCTGTTTGGTCATCTGAAGCGGTGTTGGCGCACCGACAATTCTTTATATGTATATTTGTTTTCTATTGGACATCTGTCGTCATGGTGACATACCCGTATGTCATGCTTTCTATTTTTGTGCTGACATACCTGTCAATATATGTATCCTTGTGTTTACATTTTTTTGTGTTTGCATGTATGTTTTTGTAGGTGTGTCTGCAATTATTTGCATGTTTGTTTTTACTCACTTGTTAGTCACTATATGCATGTTTGTGTTTATGTATCTGTTAGTCATTATGTGTATGTTTGTGTTCTGTTGGACCTCTGAAGTGGTGTTGACACACATGTAAGTCACTATATGTATGTTTGTGTTTATGTCCCTGTTACTCATTATGTGTATGTTTGTGTTCTGTTGGACCTCTGGAGCGGTGTTAGCGCACCCGTAAGTCACTATATGTATGTTTGTGTATATGTATCCATTAGTCATTATGTGTATGTTTGTGTTCTGTCAGACCTCTGGAGCGGTGTTGACACACCCGTAAGTCACTATATGTGTGTTTGTGTTTGTATACCTGTTACTCATTATGTGTATGTTTGTGTTCTGTTGGACCTCTGGAGCGGTGTTAACGCACCCGTAAGTCACTATATGTATGTTTGTGTTTATGTACCTATGTGTTTTGTATGTACTATTGTGTTTACTTTGTACTTGTACTTTATGTGTTACTATGTACTATTGTGTTTATGTACCTTATGTATCAGTCTTTATGTGTATGTTTGTGTTCTGTTGGACCTCTGGAGCGGTGCTGACCCACCCGTAAGTCATTATATGTATGTTTGTATTTATGTAGCCATTAGTCATTATGTGTATCTTTGTGTTTATTTACCTGTAAGTCATTATATGTATCTTACTCTTTTGTTGGAACTGTGGAATAACTATAATTTCATTTGATAATGCAGGTTAGTCATTTTGATCAAGTTTTTGTTTTTTTTATTTATATTTGTGTCTGTTGGTCTTGTGGCACAGCATTGAAACAACAGTAATCAAACTAGGCTGCAAGCAATCATTGTAGGAGTTGGAAGTTACTGGAAGAGAAAAGATGAAGTTTGTAGAGTAAGATAACAATTGACAGTTGAGTTGAAAGATTGCAAATTATATGAAACAGGGAAGCAAGATAAAGGAAGCGAATTCCAAAGAACTGATGTTCGAGGAAAAAAATAAAAGAATAAGAGTTTTTGGAGCACTTAGAAACAGTCACAAGAGAATGAATTTTAGCAGATAAACAAGGGACTCTAGCTATTTAGAGCAGTGCCCATACTTGTAGAAAAGAGAAGGAGAAGCACCATTACAACGATGTGATAATGGTTAGAGGTTGGCTGCAAGAGCAGGTCCAACAATGCATTTTTACAATGCATTTTTGCTCCTTGTCTAAAAGAGAAAGGGCGTCATTAGAATATCTGCCCCAGCGTTTTTTGCAGCGTTTAGTGCCACAGGGTCTGTGTGTTTTGTGATTGTGATCTTATTGTTGTGATGTTTTGTGTTGATAGACAACTTGGCTTACCTTCTCGCTGGTGTCTATCGTTAAAAATGATTATTAGGTTGTTTCGTTACTGAAACTACTTCTAATCATTCACTAAAAGCCAAGAGATAAATTTTAGACAAACAATATTTTTTGTTTTAATGTTGTTTTCATTTTTTCATCTTAGGTGTTGTCAATAGTTCACAAATCTCAAAAAATAAGTTTCTTATTTTATATTTATTTAGTTTTAATTGTTAATTTATAACTTTTTTTAATTTTAAATTTTTAAAATGAATTAACAAATATTTTTTTTAAATTATTGTGTATCTAATGTTATTTGATGTATTATTATATGTATTTAGATGTATTGTTTTTAATAATAATTTTATTACAATTTTAGGTAGAGTTCTGCTGTTACACCTATTATGTTGTAAGTACTCAAAATTTCAGGAAGTTCTGTTGCTGCAAGTTATTTTCATTCAAATTTGAATTTTAGTTTTATTAAAGAATCTTCTGTCTGTTAAATAGATGTTAAATAGATAGTAAAATTCTGAATGATTTATTTCAATGCCCTTACGCAGTGATTTAATAATCGGTTTGTAAATAAAGAAATAGTTTTAAACAGATGAATTAATTGAATTCCACGATCCTTTATGCATATAACATGAAGTTTTATAATATAACCTAAATTTTTTTCTTTTTTTTCTAAAAGATTTAAATCCAAATTCATTTTTAAAAGACTAGGTAAATAAATAAAACATTTCAGTCTGTAAAATTAACAATTCTGGATAATTTCTTCAGTCTGTAAAATAGACGATTCTGTATGATCCCAACAGATTCAATAAAAACTGGTACACTATTTAAAATTTCAAGTCAAATATAATAACTGTTCAAATATATCATATATATTTAAGGTCGATATGCCCAATTGGTTTGTGCATTCCTTTTTCTGTAATTTAATGACCGGTCTGTAATTTATGCAATAATTTTACTGACAGGTCTGAAAGTTATGCAATAGTTTTTAAATGATGTATTTTTTGGATTCCATGATTCCTTTATGCATATTTGCAAAATGCAACCATAATTTTTTTCATCATAACACAGTTAAATAAGTAGAAACCCTTCAGTCTGTAAAATAAGCAATTCTGGATAATCCCAACAGGTTTAATAAAAACTGGATCACTATTTAAAATTTTAAGTCAAATCTAATAACGGTTCGAAAATATCAAAAATTTTAAAAAAATTACAAATTATTTAAAGTTGATATGTTTAATTTGTTTGAACAGCTCATTTTCAGCAATTTACTGACCGAAAAGTAATTTATATGATTATTTCACTGACCAATCTGTAAATTACGCAATAGTTTTCAAATGTTTTATTTTTTGGATTCCATGATTCTTTTATGCATATTCACATGGTATAATTATAATATCACCCCAAGTTTTATTCTCCAAAACTAAGAAAATAATGTAAAACCCTTCAGCTGTAAAATAGATGATTCTGGACAATCGCAACAGATTTTTTAAAATAAAATTTTGGCTTTTTATTTTCTTATAGTTTTTTGATCACTATGAAAAAGTCACAAGTAATAACCATTCAAAAGTTATTCAAAAGTCAGTATGACCTCAAAAATATAGTAATTAGTGACAACTCTCAGTCTGTAAAATAGGTGATCCTGGTAGATCCTGACAGATTTTAAAAAAAAAATTTTTGGTTTTTTATTTTCTTACAGTTGTTGAATTGCTATAGAATATTTCAATTCAAATGTAATAACGATTCAAAAGTTATTAAAAAGTCAGTATGACCCTAAAAATGTATAATATATATATATATAAATTAGTAAAAATTCTGGTCTGTAAAATAGATAATTTCTGGTCAATCCTGACAGATTTCTAAAAAAAAAAAATTTGGAATTTTATTTTCTTATAGTTAATTGGTCACTATGGAAAATTTCAAGTCAAATGTATCGTTGGTTCAAAAGTTATTCAAATGTCAATAATACTTTCATTTTCGGTGCCATTTCGCAGTAAATTTTCCATACTTAAGCCCTATACCTTTTGTCAAAAAATTACCCGTTTTTTCACTACAAAAAGGTCAATAACTTTTGATCCGCTTAACTTCAAAGGCTAAATGACCCCTCATTTTTTAAGTCAAACCAAGCTCTATACAATGACATCAATTATATTTGAATATTTTAATTATAAAAAAATCGTCTGGAATGGCTAATATGGTAAGTGTACGATAAAGTGTTAAGAGTCTACAAATCGTTTAAAAAGTTACGAGTCTACTAAATTGTTACTAGCCTACTACTTTCAAAATGCTCCCCTGTAAAATCACATCTGCGGTACTTAAAACTTCTGTGCATAATGCCATCAATTTTTTTATTCCAACAAACATGTTTATAATAGTTTTAATTATAAATAAAGAGATCGTTACAATTAAAAACAACATGTTAATCATATTTATAAAAAACCGATGATAAATGAAAACTATAGCTGAAGTGCTCGTAAAATTAAAAATTTTATAAAAACTAACAAATAGATATAAATGTAAATCTCAAATAAAACTAAAGTATCAAGTCACCACATTTTCCACATTTGTTTACAAAGCCTACTTTATTATTTACTTATTAATTTATTGCTACTTATTACGTAATAACCTAATCAAATGAGAAAATTATTTTTGTTATAAAAAACATTGAATCTAATAAAATAACCGTCGGATACAAATTAGAAAATTTATTCGTCAACAAGAAATTTATTAAACAATTTATCTACTCCATAATTTTTCATTACTAAATAATGAAAAATGGATACACGTGGCAACTATTTGTAAAAAATATATGCACCACTCTGTGAATATTCAATGTCAATAACAAAGTATATTTTAAGAAGACATTCTGCTTCACTTAACATGACATTTCTCATTAGATTCACATTGTCCTCTATGAAAATAAACAGTTGCACGAAATTGCCTTGAACCTCTAGTGTAATAACAAACAGCTACATGAAAGAAGTCTATTTGCATCAATTATAGTCTATAATATTACAGCTATAGTATCTTTTGTAAGAAAAATAATAAATTAAGGTACAATATAAAAGGAACATGAGGTTAATATTGACCTAGTTTATAACATAAATCATTAAGCTGGAAATGATTAACTTTAGCAATAAAAAAACAAGGAAACATTTACAATAAAGATTTGAATAAAGTGAGCTGCAACATCAGCTGTAGATAGTAGATTCTTATTTTTAGGAGGCACTTAAGGAATCTAAAGAAGCTAATGCAATGCATGTTCCATATTTTGTTCTTTAATGAAAAAAAAAATATATACTTTTCAAATAACAACATCAATTTTACACATATAGTAATTTAATACCAGCTGTAATTTTTTATGATAAATTAGTGTTTTGTAAAATACAATGATATAAACTTAAAAATGTAAAACAAAACGCTGCTTACATCAAATCCTAAGCCTTCAAACGAGAAAAATTTCTGAAGTGGTAGTTACTTGGTATACAATATTGCTGGTCAAGCAGTTTTTGAGTAAAAGACAATTGCTTTTATTAAGGCAGTTGCAGTTATTTTTATTGATGATTAGATTTTTATTCAGGATGCACTTGATGTGTAAATTTATTAATGATTTTATGTTTGGCATGCAACTGTAGCTAATTTTTAGAGTGTTCTTATTAAAAATTATTATGTGGTTTCTAGTTAATTGAAAAATGTTTGACAATCATGTTTAAAAACCATTTTCCTATATTTGTGGTAACATTTATACTAAAAGGGTTGTACCAGATTATTTTGCGTGAACGGTTTTTTCTTTTTGTTGTTGATTTAAGTTAGGTTGGTAGGAGAAATTGTGTTTATAACCAGAGTTTCGTAGTGCTTACTTATAAATAGATACAGATTTCTTAAACACTTCTTTGCTACTAAAATTTCTGAACAATCTCAGTTCAACATTGGAAGGTAATTGTTTTAGTATACTAGGATAGTGGTTAGATTGAACATTTATGTAGTTTAAAGTATTATTAGGTTTGCAGTATGGTTGGTATTACTTTTTGCGGAGAATAAAAGTCGAGGTAGTTCACAATTTTAAAGTTACACTGTACAGATATGCTAAGATCGTTACATTTGAAAAACATCGTGGCAAGCTTTTTAACTTTCTCCATTTTTTGACCGGTAGCATTTTTAAAAATTGCTGATCCGTCATTAAAGCAAAGTCATATTTATAATAAAAATTTTATAATAAATATGAAAATATTATAAAAATTTGAAATTTGAAAAAGAATAAATATCCCAACAAATTCACATATCTCTGACCCGTCAAACACACCCATTGAAGATTTTCTAGCATGAATAACAATTTAGTTATGCTATGTGTTATTAGTAAGATGTTTTTCTGCAAAACTGATAGAATTGTTGAGGGGTTTTTTACTAATTAAAGGGTAGAGATCGTTGATGTCAAAAATAAGGAACTTGTAAAGGTGTTTATCTTTTATATTTTTAAACCAATTGATAACATTTTGAGTGTTTTTCCTCTGGTTTAGATGCATAATATTTTTTAAATTAGAGTTTAATTTTGAGAAAATGTCTTTATCGCTCTCATTTTTTGGAGGATTTATTAATCTAACTGTTGGATTATTTATTAAATTAGTTTTGTGGTCTTTTTTACGTTATGAAACAAATAGAAGATGTATTAATGTCAAGTTATGAAACAAATAGAAGATGTATTAATGTCAAGTTACGAAACAAATAGAAGATGTATTAATGTCAAGTTATGAAACAAATAGAAGTTGTATTAATGTCAAGTTATGAAACAAATAGAAGTTGTATTAATGTCAAGTTATGAAACAAATAGAAGTTGTATTAATGTCAAGTTATGAAACAAATAGAAGTTGTATTAATGTCAAGTTATGAAACAAATAGAAGTTGTATTAATGTCAAGTTATGAAACAAATAGAAGTTGTATTAATGTCAAGTTATGAAACAAATAGAAGTTGTATTACCCAGTGGGCACACGACGTTATTTCGACGTTGATTTACAGTTGATTTTTAGTCGCGACGTCGTATAACCAAAAATCAACGTTGTATCAACGTTGAAAAATTTGTTTAAAACTATCAAATAAAATCGACGTTG